TGCTGAACTCCGGTGTTGCTCTCAGTTTTCCTCCTATCCTGAATCCTCTCTTCCCTCTTCCCTTTTGCAGCCGGGTGGTTCGCAAATCGATTGCCAGAGTGCTGACGGTCATTAACCAGACGCAGAAAGAAAACCTCAGGAAGTTCTACAAGGTGAGTTTGAAGCTGTGGATCGTCTGCCTGCCGACCTTGAATTTCACAGAATAAAAGAGTGGGTCTCTGCTAGGGGAACACATACTAAAAAATGGATGAAACCATGGTCGGTAGACATTTCGGACTTTTTTTTTTGACAGGAGACCCCTGGAGTCTCTAAAAAGCTTCTGCTTGACTTAAACGGGAAACGGATGGGTTCTCTTGACCTCAGAGCAGGGTGGTTTTCCAAAGCTGTGTTTTGCAGGGCTCACACCCAACACTGCTTGAGATCCCATGGATGCAGTGCGAATCTGCCCTTGCTAAAGCATTCTTCTGCCGGACAGCCTTCGCTTGGGCCGTCATGCCCAGCAGTTGTCCGGGAGGTACATGGCGACACCTTTCCCCAGCGACGTTCTAACTCCAGTTTAGACTTTTGCAACCTTTAAAATGACTTGGAAATTGCCAGTGGCTTAGGGCTGCCAGGTTAACAGTGACTGGGAACGTTGAGTTAAAACAAAAGACAAAAACGTGGTGGTACCTTAAAGATTCACTTTTAGAATTTTTTAAATTTCTGCTTTTATAGACAAGTCCACTCCATCATACATAAGAGAAGGAGATAGGACATGGGAAATATTTATAAGTGGTATCAAAGTATAGATTTCAAAATGCGATCAGAATTTCTAAGCACAAGCTTCTATGAAAGAAATGTGTATCAAATACATGATCGTTGCAGTGTTAGATACCCGCTGACTTTCTTGCCAACTAAACCATGATATTTTGAGATCTATACTTCGTATACTTCGATGCCATGTATAAATGTTCTCCAAGTTATAGTTTCTTTGAGGCAGGCATTATGTTTTCGTGCCCAGCTGATCCGAAAGCCTGCTTCTGTTCCACTTGCGTAGCCCAAACTTTGAGATCCTTTCCAGAGTCTCCTGCTTCGGCCAAAAGGTTTTGCCACCCGGATTGGCATTTTTTTGGCCTCCGACTCCTTTTCTGCTGATCAGGCCCCGATCCGGGTCTCCCAAAAGTCTGTCCTCCCTGCATTCAAACTTTTCTCCCAACAGGGGAAGAAGTACAAGCCCCTGGACCTGCGGCCGAAGAAGACGCGCGCCATGCGGCGCAGACTCAACAAGCACGAAGAGGGTCTGAAGACCAAGAAACAGCAGCGGAAAGAGCGCCTGTATCCGCCTCGGAAATACGCGGTGAAGGCATGAGCCAGCCCGGCTGGCCAGCATTTTACCATTAAAATGTTCCGTCTTTGGAAATCTTTGCCTGCCGTCCCTTCTTTGGTGGTCAACGTTGCTTTTTCACATTTGAGTCCAATCGTTGAATGGAATGGATCCATAGTTACCGGCTGGGAAAATGGGAGGCAGTAGGAAAAGAGGGAGATCCAATGTGAGATGGACTGGCTCCCTAGGGGAAGCCACAGGGTTGACTTTGCAAGAGCTGACCAGGGCGGGTAAGGACAGGAGATTTTGGAGATGCCTTATCCACAGGGTCGCCGTAAGTCGTAGGCAACTGAATGGCACGAAGCAACAAAAGTTTTATACAAATTGAACACGTCGCTTCCGATTATGGTGCATGTTTTTGAGTCCATTGGTCGTTTTTTTCTACCTCTTTGTCGATATGTTTGTATATGCATTATACAATATGGATCTATATAAGCGTATGGGTATACAGAAAACCATGTTAACGTTTCCTGCGTAAAAGCTAGTGGCCTGTCTTTTCTGTCTGGCCACGCGAGAACCTGCAGGCTCCATTGGCAGCGTGGAAATGAGCATGGCTCTATATTTTGTAAAATTTCTTCCAAAATGGGGGATAATGGGAGTTCTAATCCAAGCCATCTGCGGTGCCAAGGTTTCTGTAGCTTGTTTCTCTAACTTGCTTTCAGTTCGCATGGTAATCGGAAGCTGCTGATTCTCGCTTCACATCGCTCTGGACCTGACTGCAAAATGTTAAGTCGTCCAACTTTTGGAAAGCGCTTGGAGCCGCGGCGCCCAACCTTGGCTTCCCCCGGCGTTCTTGGACTACAACTCCCAGAAACCTCTTGCCACCCGCTGGGCTGGCCAGGATTCCCGAGAGTTGCCGTCCAAGAACACCCCGGGGACCCAAGGTGGGGACGCGGTGGCTTAAGAGCCACAGATGCTGCGTTCTGTCCAGTCTTGTCACAACAACAGAGCCAGCGTGAGCTTGTTTGGAGCGCCGGCCTGGCGTGGGAGATCCAGATTCTCGCTGCCGTGACACAGAATTTGCGGCCCTCCCCTTTTTTTTTCTTTCTCGCCTGACCTGTACAGGATTGGGAGAAGATGCCCCGGAGGGAGGCTGTCTGTGTTGCTTCAAGCGGACTGGAAGATCGGATTAATACAAGTTTCCTCCCTCCATGGAATTTGTATTAAGCGCTAATAACAAAGAGAAGGATCCGCTAGACTTGAGAATGCACGAGGGAGGCGCAACCGGCGCATGTTCGCACACGTCCCCTCTTCGTTGGGAGCGGCACAGCTCCTTCCTGCCCTGACTTAAACGAAAGGTTCCAGAGTCAGAAGGTTGGGAGTTCGATTCCCCGGCGTGCTACCTTAATGGGGGCTGGCCAGCGCAGCGGGTGGCGAAAGGCTTCTGGGAGTTGTAGTCCAACAACCTCCAAGGAGGCACGATTGGGAACCCCTGGATTCGATGATCTTGAGAGATCTCTTCCACCCTGAGAATTATATGAAGCACCTCAATGAAATATCCAGATGTGTGACGGCCGCCTGATCTTGAGAGATCTCTTCCACCCTGAGAGATCTCTTCCACCACCTCAATGAAATATCCAGATGTGCGACGGCCGCGGGAAAGCACAACAGCGTAGCAGCTGGAGGGAGCAGGCAACGCGCCAACTGTTTCGTGTCCAGAAATGAAGCTAGGGTGTCCTTTTTTAAAAAAAAATGTTTCTGTTCCTTGAGGCTATGCGGAAGTAAGCCCAAGGCGGCTTGCTCCTTCCTCTTAAGGATGATGCCTGAAACAGTTTTTTAAAAAAATAACACTTCCTCGTTGGGACGTTTCTTCACTTTTTTCTCTGGTGGGAGATCACGAGATGGGGTTGTAACCGACGGGTGGGAACCCTCAGAAATGAAAGTTACAAACGGCCCTGACCTTTCAGTCACGCTGGGTGGGGGAAGTCTGGAAACCATCATTCAAACAAGTAACTTCCCTAAATTCAGGAACTTCAAATGAGCCTGCATCATAACATTTCAACCTCCTGGCAGCCGCAACGCATTCCCCACCCTCCCCGATCTGTAATGCCAGCAAGATAAGACATCCGTTGGCGAATTCTGAATTGCTCTAAAGTCCCTTTTGCGCCACAGCAGAAATACAGAGATTCACAGAGAAGAATAGCTTCCAATTCCCCAGAATAGTCCACCCCTTTCTCCTTAACTGGCACTTACAGTCTCAGTAACTCATGCTGAGATATTTGGAGGAGAAAGAATAAAAATGTTTCATTCCTTGCCGTTGCGGACAGATGAACGTTAAACTTTGCAGCATGCATGCTCAGCCTCATTGGTGTAGTTTTGGATTTTTTCTGCTGAAAATCTGTTTTTAGACTATGCAATATCGAAGGTCTCCAAAAATCCACGGCCACCGCTCTCTCGAGCGTGAATGGTTCAGTTTTGGCTGCCTAAAAATCCACACGGATAGAATCAGTTTGATGTTAAGATATAAGACTACCTTTCTTCTCCCCTTCCCCAAATTCTTAGGTGAGAATAAATATCCCAAGACTCTTTCTGTGACAAATGTCAGACATCGGTCCATTTATTGAAGTCTTACGTAAGTGGTGCCCCGCACGACGACGATAATGTGTTCTTGATGTTAAGATATAAGACTACCTTTCTTCCCCCCCCTCCCCAAATACTTAGGTGAGAATAAAATATCCCAAGACTCTTTCTGTAATGAATGTCAGACGTCAGTCCATTTATTGAAGACTTCCGTAAGTGGTGTCCTGCACGACGACGATAATGCGTTCTGTTAAAATCGCTGTACAGCGAAATTGTCGTCATGTGAAAATGTGTGTATAGGCTCAGTCAAGTGAGACCTTTACTAGGAAGAGGCCCCAGATCCTAAAGAAACTTTGCAAGCTTTTTGGTTTGACAGAATGTTTCTTCAAGAAAAAAGAGGGAGGGAAGGACAAAATAAAACTTGGCAGAAACCTCACGAAATTTGAGTCAGTGCACTAACAAATCTTTCAATTGCTGGTGAGAAGGGTATAGGGCCCTCCCGGATACCTTTTACCCGCTCCACCAAGTGTTCTGTTTGTTCCAGAAGCTGACAGCGGACCTGCAGGAGGAAAAACCTGCGGCCACACGAACCAGGTTTGTTTGAAGATGATGGAAAGCAGGGGAATGATATGGGTAGAAACCTCTGGCAGGAGGCACCTTCTAGTCTCTGGAATTAGCCCGTTGTATATAAATTCTCTGGGTGCGGTTCCATCCTGACCTCTTTTTTTCCCCCTGATGTCTGAAATTCAAAGAATGCAGTCTTCGGATAATCTACACTTCCGGTCGAGCGAAAGCAGCCATCGCCAGCTTCCCTAAAGATAAACGGTCTGCAGAAACACCCCGAGTTCCAGGGAAATAAATTTGTGGCCCCAGATTTCTGTTGCAAACCCCTTTGCATCTGAATCTGTTCCCACGGAACTCAACAGCACTTGTTTGCTAGCAAGTGTTTTGGGCTCACATCCCTTTAGGTGAAATATTATCCAAACATTTTATACTTGCGTTTGGAATCAAATGAGGTTTGAATTATACTCTGCTTTCTTTCCGCTTTATTCCAGTAATTATATTGGACTGCTGTTGTTTGGGATAATTCACTGGACAACACACAATGGCAATTGGTATTTATATAATGTGGTCGTAAGTGTGTTAACAGTTAGAACTTCACACGATACTTGCAAGTACTCGAGAACCATCATATTTACAATAGTTTTTAGTATTTCATAGTGCATTTTAGATGGCATGCAATTGTCTTTGTGATCAATGCGGTTTGGCAGTGAAAAAAAGGCGGATTTGACAATATTTGAGAACTAACTTTCAATGGTCCTTCATATTTGAATAAGGACATAAAATAATATTTAATGTTTCACAGTGCCCTGGCCTTTAGTAGCTGATGCTTGATATGTACAGATATTCTCTGTTCGACAGGGCAAAATGGACAACGTGCAATATTTTGCATTTAATGCAAAGCATGCAGTATTGTCTTGTGATGATATGATCCATGGCAGTTCGTGACTGAGGCTGGCAAAATCAAAACAAGAGATATCCCAAATTTTACATCACCCGCTCTTCAAATGCCTTGCCTTTTAAGTTATGATGATCAATATTAATTAGTCGACAAACTAATTCCCATATTCGTCCCGGGAACAAAAAAGACTCGCAACGAGATTCGGACAAGTCTAAGGGATTTTTGCAAAGGTATATTGAATTACACCTGCCATCGTCCTCCGATGAGGTGTGGATAATGGGAGTCATTGTCCAACCCGTCTGGCAGGTCCATATTGCGATATCTCAAGGCTCAATCCTTTGGAATAAACCGGGATCAAGTTGCAGCACTCGCGTATAAAAACCTGCTACGCCGGTCTTATCTAAGAGGTCACGAGCCACATGCAAAGCATTCCTTAGCTCCGGGAAAACACCTTTTTCCTTGGAACTGGCAACCTTTCTTCCGAATTTCTCCACCTGAACAAGTCTGAACCACCACAACTCTCCCTGGCTCTTTTTATCCTGATAACCACCACCCTATTAAAAAAAAAAAAGGAAATCAGGCTGAGGGGCTTTGATTAGACCATATAGTGGGTTTCAGAGCAATGGTAGGATTCGAACTCAGAACCCCCAATTGGGATGCTCTTAATGATTCCCCGGGGCTGGCCAGTATCAAAAGCCACAATCCCTGTTCTAACGCCCGCCCGGGAAAATACAGTGCTTAGCTCTGGATTTCATCCCTTCCCATTATATTTTATTTATTTAAAATGTTTCTTAAATACCCCCGTTTCTCCTTAAAAAAAGGACCTAAGGCAGCTTACAAGAGTCAAAGCTGAAAACAGGAAGTATACAAATACTTTTAAAAGGATCAAATAAAACCATGCTTTTAAAAACGGTAAACAAAAGCCACACCAACAACACAATTCAAAGCAACAAGGCACGACAATCCGTTTATTAATCCCGGTTGCTCAGGGAAAGCCTGCCTGAAGAGAAGGGTCTTGGCCTGCTGGCGGAAGGACAGCCAAGAAGGGGGGCCAGGCTGGCCCTCCAGTGGGAGGGAGTTCCGCAGTCTCTGGAAGCAGCCACAGAGAAGGCCCTCCAAAGCACGCTTATGAGTGTGACTTCTTCTGATGGTCTCAAGGGAGACGAGGTCCTTGAGACCGCGCGGATCGAGGCCGTTTTAGGCTTTATAGGTTAAAAATGGCACTTTGAACTGTACCCGTAAAGAAATCGCCAGGAATATAATGCCGCATATCTCTGCAGGGATCTTATTTATTGCTGCTTTGAAACTGCTCCTTTCTACCCACCTACCCGGGGAGGGGCAGGATGGAGGCTATGCAAACAACAGCGTACACCTGTCCATTGTTGAGCGTTTTCCGAGGGTTTTGCATGATCCGAAGTCTAGCATTCACACACCCCGGGAAAAGGTGATAAGAGGGGTTTCCGAAACTCGGCCCGCTTTGGTCCAGGAGAAAGGCACAAAAGCGCACGCCATGGGGCTCGGTTCGCAGGACGCGGGGGGATCTTGTGGCGGTGAGTGAACAGATGCCTTAATTTTGTGATACGCTGAGCAACAGTAGACAGTGGCAAATGTTCGCAATCTCCTGCGTGCCCTAAGAAAGAAAGAAAGAAAGAAAGAGAAAAGCTGAAATAGTTTTTGTATGGAAATCTGGGTTTATATTACCTGCATCGTTAGTTGTACACTTTGTAAGGGGATCAGAGATTTGGAAGACTTTCTCAGCCTAGCCTACCTTATAGGGCTGTTGCGATTTATTTTTTATTTTTTTATTGGAAAGAGAATGTACTGCCCCGTGCAATTTGAGAAGGCGTGCATGCTGATAGTATGCCCCTGTCTGAATTTGACTTACGTGGCTGTCTGATTCTTAAATGGGGTGCCCAAGAAGCCATACATTAAAAATATTAGAACTCTTTCTTTCTTTCTTTCTTTCTTTCTTTCTTTCTTTCTTTCTTTCTTTCTTTCTTTCTTTCTTTCTTTCTTTCTGGCATAGCTTACAGCAAGCAGAAATTGAACGAATCCAGCTTTTTCCTCAATGGGAGGTTTCACCTGTTGAACTCCTACATGCTAGACCGCCCAATTTAGCCCCGTGAGTTTCTAAACGCCTTCCTGTCTTCCGTTCCCCCTCCCTCTGACCTCCTTTCCCATCCTTCCTTTCCCCCCCTCACTTGCTCACACCCCACCCCGGGCCTTCAGTGGCTGTGATCGGCTCCGAACTCTGCGTGTAGTAAAGGCGGCCAACGCTTCACGCTTTTTCAGCAGGTTGAGTCTTGTCCCCAATCCATGGCGCCGAGGGAAACAGGCTCACCTGCAAAAAAAAACTTCGGATTGAAGCCTCCGTTCAAGTCACAGCTTGAACAACAGAGAGTTGGCAGCCTTTTTGGGCAATGGCAGAGTCAGTCCACCGGCCTCTCTTCCTGAAGCAGCAGTTCTCTAACTTTCCAGAAGTTTTGGGACCTCATCTCTCCGAAGCTATGCTATTGTAACCCAAGTTATAAGGTCCCTCCTTCCTTCCTTCCTTCCTTCCTTCCTTCCTTGCCGATGCCTGCAATTCCAGCATCTTATCCACTAGGGG